TTTGTATTAAAGTATATATTTTATTTATTTAATACATAAGTTTTTTTTTTTTAGAATCTCATAATAAAAATGGTCATCTGGAACAAACAGAATCTTCGTTCACTACCAAAGCATTTCGTGATGCAGGAGTTCAGACTGATCCAATTGATTTAACATCACTTGAGCAGTATTTAAATAATATTGATCCTTCAATAATGGACATTTTACGCAAGAAATTGTTTTCAGTTGGTGTTGGGCCGATGAAACCATCTAGTGAAAAGGTTGAAAAGGTTGAATCACAATGGCCGCAAATGCCTTCTAATACATGGGGTACAGTTAAAGAAAAGTCTATAAATGAAAGTGCTCAAAAAAATGCAAGTTCGTGGGAACAATCCAATGAGGGTGTCGAGTCACAATGGCCTCTGAATAAACCATCGCAAACAAATTCTAATACATGGGGCGTACTTCCAGAAAAATCTTTAAATGATACAGTACAAAATAATGTAAGTTCGTGGAGTGTACCGGTGAAACCACCTAATGAGAATCTTGAATCTCAATGGAAAGTTCCTTTAAATGAACCATCACAAATAAAATCTAATACATATGAAACATGGGGTGCTACTACAGAAAAACCTTTAAATGAGAGTGCACAAAAAAATGCAAATTCGTGGAGTGTACCAGTGAAACCACTTAATGAGAATGTTGAACCTCAATGGAAAGCTCCTTTAAATGAGCCATCGCAAGCTATATCTGATACATGGGGCGCACCAAAAAAACCCTTAACTGAGACAACGCAAAAGAATGCAAATTCGTGGGGTGAACCGGTGAAACCACCTAATGAAAATGAACCTCAATGGAAAGCTCCTTTAAATGAGCCATCGCAAACCCCATCTAATACATGGGGCGCACCTCCAAAAAAATCTTTAAATGAGACAATGCAAAAGAGTGCAAATTCGTGGGGTGAACCGGTGAAACCACCTAATGAAAATGAATGGAAAGCTCCTTTAAATGAGCCATTGCAAACCCCACCTAATACATGGGGCGCACCAAAAAAACCTTTAACTGAGACAACGCAAAAGAATGCAAATTCGTGGGGTGAACCGGTGAAACCACCTAATGAAAATGAACCTCAATGGAAAGCTCCTTTAAATGAGCCATCGCAAACCCCATCTAATACATGGGGCGCACCTCCAAAAAAATCTTTAAATGAGACAATGCAAAAGAGTGCAAATTCGTGGGGTGAACCGGTGAAACCACCTAATGAAAATGAATGGAAAGCTCCTTTAAATGAGCCATTGCAAACCCCACCTAATACATGGGGCGCACCAAAAAAACCTTTAACTGAGACAACGCAAAAGAATGCAAATTCGTGGAGTGAACCGGTGAAACCACCTAATGAAAATGAACCTCAATGGAAAGTTCCTTTAAGTGAGCCATCGCAAACCTCATCT